TTATAATATAAAGTAGTCGTATCGTAAACACTACATGATTACGGGTACGGATGGGTACGACTAAGATCTTGCGATAAGATTTTGAAATCAATTAAATAATAGCTTAATAGTTGTACAGTATATTAGAAATTGAATGTGGTAACACACTTGATTAGTCAATATTTTTGTAGTTATTTTAATTAATAATAAAAATTATTTGACTCATGTCTGCAATTATGACCAGAGGTGCGGTGAATCACTTATCACTTATAGCACAGGTATATAAGTAGACATATATGTGCTAAATATTTGTATTTATATTCAGTATGATCACTGAGCAGTATATTGTATTTAAAAAACTTTTATTTATTTATTGTGCTAATTAGTTAACTGCTTAATATTAGAATTAATGTTTTAATATTTATAGTTTTCAGTTTATTTATAATATTGTAATTAGTAATTAATAATTAGCCTAACTTGTATTAATAATTAGCCTAACTTGTATTAATAATTAGCCTAACTTGTATTAATAATTAGCGATTACATTGAAAACACATACAAAATGAGCATCGTATATAAACTGAAACGATTTATTGATTTCATGCGCTTATTAAAAGTGGAAATCTATGTGTTTATCACATTTTTTGTGTCGACACTGAAACTAGTGCCCATGAACCAATTGGTGCAGGACAAAATATGCCTTTTCAAGTACAAACTCAACTCAACCTACTGTACCGACTTGTCCACTATGGAGGACGACTACCTTCACAAGAAATCCGATATATTAGCCGATGGGACGACATACACAATGTATTACACAATAATACTGACCATACCGTCGGTGATCGCCACCCTGTTCATCGGCTCGTGGACTGACACTTACCTTAAGGCTAAGAAAATCTTATTAATCGGTGGCGCTATTGGATGCGTATTAGAGATGTTGGTATTTATACTCAATGATGTCATGTTTGATAGCAGTGAGTATTCAAACTATTTAATTTAGCATTACAATAATATTGCAATCATATTACAATCATATTACAATCATATATTATATGGATTTGACTATAATTGATATTTTTGAACCAAATAGCCTACTATTGTGTGTTACTATCGATAGCGCCGACACTAGTGACAGCGGGTCTGTTAGGCCAACTGTCGGCCATTTGGTCGTACATCGCGTCCACCACTCCATCGCATATGAGGGCTATTAGGATGACAATGACTGAGATTGTTATTGGCACCGGTATGACATTTAGCTATTTGTTTTTCTACAAAATTAATTAATAGATAGCATATAACACAACATTTTATTGATAATTACTTATAGAAAATGATCAAATACATTATATTATTATTAACCCTGACATTAAGTATAACAAAAAAGATAATTTATCAGTGTAATTTTTCTTAAATCTAAATTATCTATTCAGTTATATCACATATTACATAATTAACTGAATTTTATATTAACTATAGTAATAAAATGATATATTGTATTAAATACAGGCCAACCCCTGGGGACGTACGTAGCGGGACTTATACTAAATACGGACCCATGGATCAAAGGCAAGGGACAGTTACACAACTACTCGGCCTCATTCGCATTGGGCGGCATGTGTTTCATAGTGGCCCTCATTTTCGCCATATTTTTCATCGACGAAAAGCGCGACATAAAGGACTGGGAGAAGCGATTCAACGCCGAGTCCGACCCCGAGAAAGACAGTATAGTATCCGTCGACGATAGGGTGCACCAGAAGCTGAAAAAGTTTTCAGACCACAAACACATACATCCCATGAAACTGTTGTTCAACATCAATAATGTCAAAGAGATGTGGAGGACGTGTAGTAAGAAACGGGATAAAAGTGTGAGACGACAAATATGGCTACTGTTCCTGGCTGATGCCATCTACCTGTTGGAACACGTGGGGCCCATCATATTCATGTTCCAGTTCTCGCAAAAGGTCTATGAATGGGACTCAGCCACTTATAGCAATGGATCCACTATTGAAAAGATATCGCAAACTGTGGCCACAATGATATTTGGAGCCATACTTCTTAAGGTAATATACATTTGAGATATTATCAAGGTTAAGTTTATATAAATTATTTTGTAGTAAAGGTATTAACTGAAAATAATTAAATTTTTGAAAATAATAAGATTTTATATCATATTATTTGTGATTATATAATACAGTATTTAATCCTTTAGCTACAACAAAATTAATACAAACTGAACTTGATAATTTTTATAGTTTGTATATCATTTAGCATTTTATATAAATTAAAAATAAAACTAAAAATAATTCTCATCAATAGGTCATAAAAGTGAATGACATGACCCTAACAATGGTAGGGTTGGGCTCATACTTCTCGCTGAACCTAATCCGTGGCGTAGTTTTGTCTGCCGATGGTTTCTACTACTCACTAATACCCGGATCATTAGGGGGTTTGGCGGCGGTGGGCATTCGGTCTCACTTTTCCAAAATCATAAAACCCCACGAATTGGGGAAAGTGTTCAGCAGTTTGGCCTGTATTGAGACGATTACCCCGCTATTCGCCGCCGGGTTATTCATACTTGTCTTTAACGCTACTATGGATTCAATGCCTAGTCTTTGTATGTATTTAATGGCATTTGTACTCATCATACCGTTTCTGGTTATGGTATGGATTCAGTTTTTCACTCAATTGCCTGATTTAAGTGATAATATTAGTGAATCTATTGATGAGACTAATCAACAACAAAGTAATGGTAAAGGAGTTGTAAAAACTATTGATTTGTAGATAACTTAATTGTATACTTGTTATTTATTTGATTTAGTATTGAAATTGTATATTATATTAATATTTTATTTGTATTTTATTTATAATTATAATTTATCAAACTTTATTCATAATTGTTTATAGAAAAAACAAGTTTAAATTAATAAATTGCTTTAAAATAAATTGTCAAAATACTTAATTCTGATATAAAGAATAGTACAAAATTATTAAATAGCTTCAATGTTGTAAAACTTTTTTATAATCATATATATGAGACATTAAACCTGTGTAACTCAAAATATAAATTAAATTGCATAAATTCTATTTACATTAGTTTCATAAAATAACACATTTGTGTAGTAAAGTCGTTAAAGTTCCTTGACATCTATGGACATCCATTGTTATAATACAATGACGGGTCAATTGTCTTAAAATTGAATGGACTAATAAAATGTTTCACTCAATGCACTAAAGGCTTATTATTACACTTTTATGATCATTTGTTTGAGTGGATATCAATTATGTTTCCATAAGTCATCATGTACGTTAAACCATAAAATAATATAATTTTAAAATTACGATAAAAGAAATACAATGTTTATATTGTACTGTATATGTAGTTTCAATGTGAAGGTGGGGGTTGATGTTTAAATATAACGCATTTAAATTAAATTTTTAAATATTATAAAATAATGTAGCATCAACATACTTTATGCAATTTAAATACCGTTTTAATAAAATAATTAAATTAAATTAAATATTAAATTATGATTTTAACAAAAATCAAAATTCAATTTGTGAAACAAATTAATTGCCTGTTCGTACCTCATTTATCCTAAATGCACTTATTGTGTAGTTTTATGATTAGACACCAGTACCCTTTTTTATTTAACAAACCATTCTGTATAATTTAATAATTGCACTCATCTATTATATAATGAGATCTATTATATTGTTTCTAATAATATGATTGAGAATGTTATGGATATTAATTATAACAGTGCTTATTAATAAATGATAATAAATCTGTAACTAAATTAAAGAATTTTTATTTCTGGTTTTGAAATATGATAAAATATAGACATAATATAATTACAAAACATAATCAAATAATAGTATATAAGTAGGAAATAAGGTGCAAGCGTATATCATACGTTAATAAATTTAAATTATTATTATTAAACTTAATTAAAAAATATTTTGTATAATAATTCTATGTATATTTATTGGTATAGCTTAACTAAATCTATAATTGTATACTAAATAAATGGATCCAAAAGCTAATATAAGTATCGAGTCTAAAGTAAAAAAGTTTTACAACTTTATAAGTCTACTGACTGTAGAGCCATATCTATTTGCATTTACATTTGTTAATAACGTTAAGAATGTGCCGATTGAACAACTGATCCAGGACAAAATATGCCGGTATACGTACGGATTATCGGCAAACTATTGCACACAACTGCCCACAATGTCGGCCACCGATGACTACCTTGGCATGAAGTCTCAGATATTAAGCGATGGCACGACATTCACGATCTACCAGACGGTGATACTGACGGTGCCCTCACTGGTGGCCGCACTGTTCATCGGCTCGTGGACTGACACCTATATTAAGGCTAAAAAATATGTGTTAATCGCCGGATCCATAGCCTCCATATGCGAGGCCGTAGTACTCGTGTTAAGCGCTTACTATTTTGAGTCAAGTATTGGATTATATTTTTATAATTTGAGACCAATTGCTGATTTAGTATTTAATTTTGGATTATTAGCACACTATGTGGTACTCATATCCTTGTTACCCAACGTATTTACTGGTGGATTACTTAGTCTATTATCAGCGGTTTGGTCATATATAGCGTCGACCACACCTCCCAATATGCGGACCCTCCGAATGACAGTCGCCGAGTTCACCATTGGAATCGGTTTGTAAAATTATCTAGTTAATTACTACATAAATTTTGTTTATATTTTTTATTAAGTTTTATTTCTAAAAATTATCTTATTCACTTTAGTACAAGTAATTAATTATTAAAATTACTAATTTACTCAATTCTGTGAACAAAACTGTAAACTATAACTATAGTCAACATTTACATATTATTTATTAAAATACATGGATTTAATGTCTTTTTTATAAATCATTTTATTTAAATTAGTCTAATATATTATTTTGTAGCCCAACCATTGGGGACATACGTGGGCGGACTTATACTCAATACTCAGTCCATATTCAGTAGTGGACAACAACTGCACAATTACGAGACGGTATTCCTACTGTCGGCTCTCATATTCATTTTAGCACTCATTTGGACCGTATATATGGTAGACGAGGAAAGGGATGTCAAAAAATGGGAAAGTAAATTCACTGCCCAATCAACCACACCGGGGACTACCCTACATAAGTTTGAGGCCACCCGACACATACATCCCATAAAACTTTTACTCAACACTAATAACTGCAAAGAGATGTTTAAGACGTGTTTCAAGCGTCGGGACCATTACGTGAGGCTCCAGATATGGCTACTGTTCCTATCGATGACCTGTTTTATGCTGTCGAGGGCCGGACCCGTGGTCTTCATGTTTCAGTTCTCGCAAAAGATCTATTCGTGGGATTCCGGGGTCTATAGCAACGCGTCGGCCCTCTGGAGTCTCACCACATCCCTGGCCACTCTCTCCATCGCACCCATACTCCTCAAAGTAGTACTTCTTTTAATTACTTTCAAAGGGTTTATTCAATTAGTACGTACCCAAAGTTAGCCTTTCCCTCTATACTTACGTACTCATTGAATACTCCTTATAAAACACATGTTTTACACAATTGTATATAAATATTGAATTCCTATTGACAGGTATTTTACTTAAAGGACACGACGGTCTCCATAATAGGTTTGATCTCATATTTGTCGCAAAACCTGATCCGAGGGCTGATGTTATCGGCGAAGGGCTTCTTCTACTCTCTAATACCCGGGTGTTTGGGTTCCGTGGCGTCCATAGGCATGCGGTCGCTGTTCTCCAAACTGATAGGCCCTCAAGAATTGGGCAAAATATTCAGTTGCATCGGCTGTCTGGAGGCCGTCACCCCTTTGATAGCGTCGGCCGTATTTAACACTATATTCAACGCTACGATGGACTCCACCCCCGGACTCACCCTTATTCTGGTGGCTGTCATACTTGTCATACCCATAGTTATACTCATTTGCATTCATAAATACTCTCCCGTCCCACACATGTGTGTTATTAGACAGACATACATTGATAGTAGTGTTGATAACACAGTGGATAATATATAAATTAAGTGCTAATTAATATTTAATAACTTAATATTTATAAAACTATTTAAAAAAGATCTAGTATGTTTAATGTAATTTTTATGAATTAGTAATAAAACAAATTTTTTGCGAGTAAAATAAAAGGTCCAGCTAACTTGTAAGTAAAATGTAAAAAATTGTTAATAACATTCTAGAATATAAAATAAAACTGTTCTAGAACAATATTTAGAAAAATATTATTTTCTATTTATGAATTAAATAATTTCCCATATCGTCGGGCCTTTGATTTTTTACCTTATGTTACAAATATTGCATTTAAAATATTGCTATAAAACTGCAATAAAATCGAAATGCTGTATAAAACCTTACTTTATTTTCAACCTACACTTTTTTATAAATAACAACCATTTAATTTGTAAATAGTAAGCAGTTTTTAATTAAGATAAATTAAGATAATACACATAAACTTATTTTTTTAAAAAGAAAAGTTTATAAAACATTTGTTGCGTTCAAAACACTTTGGGTCACGAATTGAACGGTTTTACTGTTTGAAGGACTTTCCAATTCAAAGACTAGTAATTTGTTTGCTTTGGGGTATGCGTTGAACAGGTGTTTCGGTGAGTATAGAGTGATTTGTGGGCCGACAGTCCAATATCGACCTAAATTAAAGCCATTGAGAAATGCAATCCCTTTATGCCATCCGTCCAGACGCAGGAATGTGTCAAAAGGGTATCCCTTAGTGTCGGGTAATACAAAGTCTGACGTATAGAATGAGGGAATCCTATCAAATGAACTCTCTTTCGCTGGAGTGGGATGTGTTGAGAAGGCATCCGAATAATAGTGAATATCAGCCATACTTTTAGTCCAATTCTTGAACACCAAGTAATGGCTCCAATCCTCCACTACTACCGAACCTATTGTCACATTAGATGTGATTCCCTTTTGGATGCAAATCAAATGTCAGATCAATATAATTGTCTCAATGTAATCACAATTCATACTTTCAATTCATTGATAGTATCCCCAAAAGAAAATCTTCCCTGATTTTCAACGAATAAATCCAGTTGTGATCCCAACGCTATGTTTAAATCTATTTTATGTATATTATGTGTCCGGCTTAAAGTTCCCACATATTTCTGTCAATTTATAAGCAATTAAATGTAAACCATTTTATATGTTATATCACTTAAAGTAGTTATACCTGATTGACGAACACTTGTGCCCTATCTTTGAGCTCATTTATTGCCAAAACGGCCGGATTTGACGGATTGAATGTAATGTTTGTCGAGTAGAGTATGAATCCATCCTTTATTCTCAATTTTTCGAAACTCAATGGATATACCGATTCAATAGGAGTTAGGGATGAGATAATGTCATATATACTAAGAATCGGTTTCATGACTATTGGTTTGGTCTCCATTTTAGGTGACGGCACCGGGAGTGTAACGTTAGGAAGTGGTAAATACTATGTGTTAACGAATAAAATTAATTATTAAAATAGAAATTTTAATACAAAAATAAAACACATTTACTTTTCCAATAACTTTGCGGACATCAAAGTATTTCTGAGTGGGGTCTCCATCCTCAGTGAGTGGGGCATTGAAGTCATAGCTCGTAATACAGGGATCGTATACATTGTCATCTAAATCAGCACCGGAACCAAACCCAAAGCTCGTCCCGCCGTGAAGTGGATATCTATTACGCAAACATCATTTGAATTGATTTCTGAGACTAAACACAAGACATTGTTTAACAAACAGATTGACGGATGCGTTCAGCGCTAGGATAGCGTCCAATGTTTTGCACACTTGTTGGGAAGTGGCGGTAGAATGGGGTCGTTCCCAGTGGTCTATCCAACCCGTGTAGTACTCGGAGTTAACCGATGGCCCAGACTTCTGGTGCGCTCTCAGGAGTTTGAATGCCTGGACGGGATCAACGTTGGAACCAAAATCAACGGTTGCCAACACGTTATCAATTTGTCCGCATTTTAAGTAATGGTCTCCATTGCTATCAGTGGTGAACAGTTGGACATCTTTGCCGAAGTAGTTAATGTGTAGATCCCGTAAATGGGAAGTGTATGCATAATCACAGGCATAACAAAATCCGTACTCATTCTCAATCTGAACCATAATAACTGGTCCGCCGTTTTTATACAGCATTGGCACCAACTTTGGTAGTAATAGGGAATACCATTTTTCGACGGCTTTCACATACGACGGATCAGATGTCCTTAATTTCATGTCTGGATTATTAGACAATAGCCAATATGGAAGTCCTCCCTTTCATAACATTTATAAAACATATTATTTAAATAATTTAAATATGAATAAATACCAAATCTCTTTCGGCATTAATAAAAGGCCCGGTTCTTAGGATAACCAAAAGTCCCAAATCATTAGCGGTTTGAAT